GCAGAAGTCAAGAAAACAGTTGATGGGTATGATTCAAGATAACAGAAGTGTCTACTTAGTACAGAAGATCAAAATGAATGAAGAAAGCAATGAGGATAGTATCAAAGTGGCTGGTCACAGAAGTCTAACAGGGCAGCATGAAAGGTAATCATGAAGGTACTGGTAGATTCAATGAAATGGGTAAGGTCAAAAACCAGAGAACCTAAGGAGGGAAAAACGCTGATTCTATGGGTATGAGGTAGTGAAAAAGGTGACTTAGAAGGAGGCTAAAATAAGTGATGGGAAGCACCTGAAGGGGAAGCAGTATCATAGGAGAAGTCCAAGTTGTAGTGATTCTGATGTGTAGCTGGTTTGAAAATACGAAGGAAAGTCAATGGCCTCATGCTGAGGAACCATAAGATCAGAGTATCCCAAAGCTGCTGCGGGTACCAGGAATGAGAGCAAGAAACAGAGTGGAGGAAAATATATGATGTGATAGGTCTGGGTCCCTGTAGGCAGTAGATGATGACCCCGAGGTTTTAGAGAAAATGCTGTAATTATATGGCAATCCCTTCCACAAGTATTAGAGTGACAGTGGTAGATCAATAATGTAGAAATAGCAGGGGAAAGCAAAAAAGCAGTGTGATTCCTTTTCCTCTTTCACACCATCATAGAAAACAGAAGATATCCCTTTGATGGGAGGATAGGGTACGATGTGATAACTGGATTTTTATTAAATCAGTTTAAAGAAACAGTTAAGAATAAAGAGAAGTGTACTGGAAATTTAATTTTTTCAAAGCACACATCAAAAGGAGCTAGTTGAAGAAAGACCTACTGAGTAGAGAGCAGAAGTTGTACCACTTTGAAACGTGAGGTTGAGGAAAGGTAGCAGAGACTTGGGTTGTCAATAGATACCACAGGAGAAGTGGGTTAGGATGTTAAGGAACACAAATCAGCAAAGCAAGAAGCATTAATAGCACATTTTAAAACAGATTATGTACCACAGCACAGGCACAGTGTCACTTGTACAGAAGACTACACATACACAATGCGGCCTACCAAAAAAACAGTAATATCTTACCTACAAAGCATTTTATAAATTGCTTTCACATATACTATCTTATTTGATCGTCAATAGGTAAATATTACTATGCACATTTTCTAAAGACGAGGAAATTCGGATGAGACAAAACCACAGTGAAAATCCTGATTTTCAGGTTTCAATATATAAGGTTCACATACACTGACACTTCAGCATCTCAATCAGTCAGGCTGGAAATTCTTCGCTAACCACAACAGTGGGTTCTATCAACTTGTCAGAGGGCTCTAAAGGCCACTAGACACCTTCCAGGTTTGCCTTCTAGCACCTTAGATCCCTCAACTCTTAGCACCTTCACCAAAGAAGGTAGAGAAGGGTGGGGCCATCAAGGAGAAAACTCAAGCTGAAAGTTATACATATTAGGTTCTTCTTTTCTTCTCACTTCTGGATCCCAGTGACCCAACAATGAAGATGAGAGTGGAAAAGCACTATGTAGCAATGAGATCTTCCATATACATAGTTTCGAGAAAAAGAATTAAAATGTGGCTGTGGTAGGGCAGAAAGCAGGTAGAGCTAAGAAATGGGGGAGGGGACAAGAGGAGGGCAGGAATTGGAGGGAACTGAGAGTGTAGGAGCCCCCAAGGCTGGAGAACCCAAAAGAGATACTGGAGTTTCAACTGCTGGAGGAAAGCTAAGGGCCCATAGGGTCCTGGAGCAGGGACCAGCATTGAAGGACCCCAGGGTTTGGGTGACCGGAAGCAGAGACCCCTAAAGTGGAGACCAGAAGGGGGCGCAGGTAACACCCCTAGGAGAGAATGAATGGGGAAGGCGGTCCGGAGGGCGGGGCAAAGGAGGGGCCCCAGGATGGGCGGGGCACAGACCCCTTTCCAAGTCCGAACCCCAGCCCCGAGAGCCCGGGGAGAAGCGGCTCCGCGCCTCCCGCACTCACCGCCGGTCTCGTCAGTTACATAGGGAGTCGCCATCTTGAAAACGCAAACCACTTCCGGCGTGAGCGGGCTGGGGTCCCGCCCCCCTCCCCACCGGAAGTAGAGTCCTGATCGTAGCAAGACACCATTTTAGTCTTAAAGGGAGAGTACACCATTTCATGCATAGAGGTGGAGGAGGAAGCAAGGAGTAGAAGCTGAAGACTTTTGTAAAATAAAAGCCGTGGTCTCTTTTACTGCCACTAATGCCATTATGGAGCGCCTGCTACGTGTAAAACAGTCCTCTGGGCGTCGAGAGAAGTTCCGAGTCACAGCCCTTCTCATCACAGGCACTCTTCGTCCAGGACCTGCGAGGAATAAGGGGAGAAGGCCCACCTGCACCCGGAAGCGGGGGTCTGATAAATGAGAAAAGGAAAAATATTCAGGCCCTGTCCCGTACCCGGGTCAAAGAACGGCTTGGGGACATGGAGCAGGGAGAGCAAACTCCTGGGCACGCTAGTGTTGTTGGGGGCAAATGGAAGACCCCCAACTAACCCTCTCTTAGAAGGTGGGCAGGTCGAAATGGCGCGCCGACTGCCCTCGGTCGCCAGGCTCAACCCTCGGGACTGACAGCCGCGAGAGAAGGCGGAGGATGATGCCGGTCCGCCACCTGTCCCCGCAGCCTCAGGGTTGCCGGCGGCTTCCACGCTGAAGAGGCGGTGGCCAGACTGGGCTGGCAGCCCTAGCCTGGCCCTACCCCTCTAGCAGCCCCGGGATTCAGGCGTGGAAATGACAACAGCTTAAGTTTGCTCCGGCCTTTGACCCCGGGAGCCTCCTCGGGCGGGGCCCCAGGGTCAGAGGGCAAGGTGAAGGCTTCTGGGTGGACCCAGTTAGTATTCTAATTAACCTCGTTCAAGTCTTTGGGCATTGAGGATCGAAAGCCGGGCACCTCGCCAGTATCCCAGCCCATACGGTCACTCCCTTTACAGTCCTGCACTACCCCGTGCCTCCTTATTCTTTAGATGAACTCGACTGTTTTCCCTCCCCCGTTCTTTTCAGCAGCTGTTGTTCCTTCGGGGCTAAATCCTGCTCAACCCGTTTCCCCTGCAGGCTGGGAGGTCACCCCTCTCAGGTGTCACCTCTCCCCTCCCCCACCCCCATGTTGCTTTTTCCTTATCAACCCTTTTAACTTTCCCCTAAATCTCTCACATTGGCTTAGGTCAATGTCCAACAGTACCCTTGGAACCAGGGAGGATGGAGAAGGCGAATATTAGTGACTACTTCCAACACTAAGCTGCGTTTCCCACTTAAAAAACAAACAATGGCTGACTAGGAAATTCCTAAGGCTTCGAAAGGGAGCTTCAGAAGTTTTCTAGGGTCAACAGCTTACCTTCCTATGCTCCACCTCCCTGACTTCCACCAGAGGCTCAACTCAGAAGGTCTCAAAAGACTATAAAAACTGGTTTGCATTCAAAACAGTTATTGCAAGTGTTCTAACACTGTGCATGCCCTGCTTTTTACCAATGTCTTTCATCCCTACCAGATCTAGCATCCTGTCCTTAGCCTTGTTACTAATAGTTAGAGGCGAGAATGTGGGATGAAGTCCCTAAAAACTAGAGGGATGCATTGATCTTGACTCCACTACCTGAGAAGTACTTGTACTAATACTAGTGGGCTGCTCCATGGATCTTGGCAAGAGGGAATCCTAAAGTGGCCCCCGTCAACTACCCAAACCTGGGCCCCCCAGTATGCCCCCATACATCCTGTCTCAGCTCTGGGTTGACAGGAAGTGAAACTCAATTGTCTGCCTAGCAGATCTGCCTGGGACCCAGCCTGGGGCCCGGATGTGGCCCTCCACCCTGAGGAGGAAGAGAGGAAAGAAGAGGCTGGGGAGAACAAGGCTGTTGTTTTTTCCTTTCCCTTTGTTCATTGTGGTTTCTTTCTTTCTGATTTTTATGATGTGGTCGATTAAAGAAATGAGCACCTGGAGCTGTAGGCATTAGAGGCCTCCTCCTGAGATGTTTCTTGGCCTTTCTTTCTCCCATCCCCACCAGTAACTGTTGACTTGGGGTATTATGGAGCACAGATGCTAAAGAAGACACAAAGAAGCCTAAAGTATCACTGATTCCACATTATTTCATATTAGAGAGATCACCCCATGTTCCACTTTGAAGTCTCACAAAATGTCTTAAAAGGGACTCTTTAACTTCATGTCAGGACATAGCTAAGGATGATGATGTGAGAAACACAGGTCACACATAGGGTGGTATCATTGTGTTACCTGCAAGGAAAGCTGAGTGCCTTAAGGATTAGTATCATTCCAGTATTTCTAGATAAGCAGTTCAGGGGCAGAAAACTGATTGGAAGAGGGGCTAGGGGACTTGTTTTTAACTTAAGTCATGTGTTTGTTTGGGATGGCTTAGAGTGGGGGAAACACTTTACGCATATACACCAAGCCACTCTTTGGTGCAGCACTAAAGCTAGGCTATATCATTTGCTGTCCTGCAGACCTAAGTACCAGATCTGGAGCAAAATAGGCCTTCGAAAGTACTTAAGATTCCTTATGACTAAGGAGGTCATATAGGAAAGGGAGATGAAGGATGTGGAGTAGCAGGGCCCATGTCTTTTGAAGATTGGAGGGGACACAGGAGCAGAAAGACAGACCCTCTCCAACTTCTGCCTCAGATCTTCAGATGCAACAATACTTCCAAATCCTATTACTCAGCAGCTATGTTTTTGATAAAAATGGAGATATCTCTTCCAACAGGCCTGTCTTGAAACAAGAACTGCTTAGATCCCTCTGTTTCCACTAGAGGTCCTCATGTATTCATTCCTTCACTTCAATCCCCACCAAAAATATGTATGTATGTGTGTGTGTACACACATACACAATGTATACAGAACATACACAATCAGAGGTCTCCCCTCCCCCTTTCTTTTACTACCAGGTGTAAGAGGGAAGATTCCAGGAACTCAAGCCTTTGTTACTGTGCTCTACTTCAATGAAAGGCAGGAGGGGGTTAGATGGGGTTGGGGCGGGGCCAGGGAGCAGGATGCCTGGGTCCCCAGTTCCTACCAGTAGGTCCCTAGGCCTCTGTCTCTCTCCCTTGCTCTACCAGCTTCGCCACCCCCAGAGCCTTGACTCCAGAAGAGATTCCAGACAGAAGAAGCTGAAAGGATCTCCTTACACTCCTACTTTTGGTCAGGGCCTTCTATACCACCCACCAAGGCCAGCAGGTAAAGTTGGGAGCGTTAGGGCTTAAAGAAAGGGTGGACACAGACCAAAGTACTCATTGTACCTAAACCTCCCCCCTGCCCCCACCCAGGAATTAGGAAAGGATATGTCTTGAGAGAAAGAGATGTCCTTAGACTTGGGAAAACAAGTCAGACATCTGGGGTCTGGTTTTTAGGGAGGTGAGGACCCTAGAGGTAAAGGTGGGCAGATTCTCTCAAGTAGTATCAAGCAGTGTGGAGCCCTTGCGTGTGTCTGTGGAGGGGGTGAGATATTTGGGTCTCAGGATGCGAAGTCTGGAACTCTTGGCTTGTTGCTGTGGAATCTCCTGAGTATGAATTTAGTTAATGGTGGATGGAAAGGAGTTGGAAAGGGAATTCCCCACAGGATGGCAGCAATTAGGAGAGGGTGAAACGTTAGCTGGGTGGGCAGCCGCCAAGCTGTCCCATCAGCGGCTCCGCCTCCTATCTTGGCCTCCTAGATTTGGAATGAAGGGAGAGGCTGTATGATTGGAATGAAGAGAAAATAGAAACAGAGCTGGTCCCGGGACGTAAAGAAGATGAGAAGCGCAGGATGTGCAGAAAGTGGCAGAGACCTGAGCCCTGGAGATACTCGGGAGAGGGAGGAATGAGGTTTGGGGAACTGGAAACAAGGGCCTCTCCAGACAGGCAGTTCCCAGAGTTGGGGGCACCTGGCGCGGGCGAAAGCGGGCCGGCCGGGGTGGGGGTGGGGGCAGCTATGTCGTCAGGAGTGGGGCGGCCCCGCGGCTGTAGCGTCTGCCTGGCCCGTCCCCTCCAGCCTAGCTCGGGCTCCAGCTACTGCGCCGCGCTTCAGCTCCGACCGCGCGCCCTCGGCAGGCAAGGTAGAGACCCCGCGAGCCCCACGCCGCCGCTCGCCCTACCCACCCGAGCAGGAGGGGCGGAGGCGGGGGCTGCGGGAGGGGACACCGCAAGGGCTGGGATAGGGCTGCTGGGCCGAGAAGGAGGAAGCGTGACAGCTGGAGCGGGTAGCTATCAGGGTTTGCGCCAGTACGTAGGGGCAGCGGGGGTGCTGGGCCAGAACCTGGTAGGCAGCGTTCCAGCCAAACCTTACCTCTCCATCCCTCCTGCTTTCTCTGAGGGATGGTGAAGCTCGGCTCCCAGGGACCCGTGTCCGAGGAAAGTCCGTTTTGGAACCTCCACAGCATTGCACGGGTGGAGGATTCTTGTTTGGCCTCCTGGCCACAACTTCCCATCCCTATGCTTTCCACACCTGCCACTGGGAAGTTTCTGAAACTGCCTGGGTCTGAATCCTGCTTTTCACCTTTAAATGGGAGACATGAGCTCTACTGAGGAAGAAATGCAAATATTATTGGGCATCTCCTCAGCCTCTTAACGAATGAGCCCACATTCCCCCGCTGTGCCAATATGCGAACTTCCTCCTATACCACGCAATGATGCCCCCACCCCCATGCAAAGAAACACCACCCCCTTAATCAGGCAACACTTCCATCTGTGAGGTTTGTGGAGGCGTAACGAATTTTGAGGCTTCAAGATAAATGTTTCCCTCTCAGGGGCCACTATCTAGAAGCGGGGGGGTGGGGGGGGCAGTGAAGAATTAGATACTCCCTCAGTCCTGGGAAGGAAGAGGAGAATGCAGGCCCTGGTGTGGTTAAGGGATTCAGAGGTCCGGGTGAAAAGATCTGGGCCCTCAAGGAGGAGGCCTGCTTCTTGGGGTTCCTTGCTGGGTCAGCCTAAATGTTTTGGGGACATAGTTGATTCTTGAGTAATGGTAAATTTATGGGATTTGGAATGTGAGCAATGAATGTTGAAATGAAAAAGGAAACCTTAAATGTTAGCACGACTTTGGAAATTATACTTATCTCGGTTACCAGCAATTTTACTATTTAATGTTTAAAATAAGATCTAGAAAACCAGAGACACTAAGATTTAATGGAATGGACTATGGACAGGATGTGTGAAGTCTGAGTGTGACTCTGAGAGAGTCGTACTCTCTGGGCCTCAGTTTCCTCCTCTGTAAAATATGAGAGTTCGTGCCTCCCAGCTCTGAGGATGTTTTGAGACTCTCTGCCTCCAAGTCAACTTCTAATTTTCTCACCCCAAGTTGGAAGGGGCGGGCAGAGAAACCAGAGAAGGGAAGGGAAGGGTGAGTCACAAATAGCTGGCTGGCAGGCAGCAGACCCCACCCTCCCAGCCCTGGTAGTCAGTCGCCTGGACTAGCCCAGGTTATACCTTCAGGGTTAAGATGGAGAGGTAGGAAAAAACTGGACTTGCTCCAGGTCTTTAAGATCCCAGGATCTTGTAATTTGCTGCTTTTCAGCAACAGGGGCAGCTAAACTTTCAAGGAGAGAAGTCAAGAGGACAATCGAAAAGAAAACATCCCAGGAGCCTTAATGTCCAAGGTCCCAGCCCAGGGTGTCCGAAACCCTGACAGTCTAGTTTCTAGCCCCTGCCTCACCCTCCCACAAGCAAAGTGTAGGATCCTGATACTGCATGTCTATGCCTGAGATATGACACAAGGTGGGAGGTGTACACCTGGGCTTCACTGGTGCTGGGAATTCCTAGAATTTGTTTTCCTGGATCAAAGACATCATTTTTCCTAATCTCCAGATGTGTTTTTCTAGGTACCAACCTTGGATAATTAATAACAACAACAATGACAACAATAATAATAATAATAGCTGCTAACATTTATACAGTTCTTCTGTACCATGCAGTTGCTAAGCATGTTTCATGTATTATCTTATTTAATACCACATTGTGACTGGTTTATCTAGGTACCCATTTTTCTGATGAGGAAACAGTTTCAGGGAGATGAAATAACTCATCTAAGAGCTAGGATTCTAATCCATGCCTATCTTATTCAAAAGTCCATTCTCTTGACCTTTACTGTATACTATGTTTAAGACCTTGGGAGTAGAAAGGGTCATTTTGAAAAGAGACACGAGAGAATTATCATGTCCTGTCATCCCTTGTTTGATCTTTCCCTGTCACTTTCTCTGTCAGATTTCATTCCCTAGAAACTTGGAGCCATCTAAGAATCCCCAGGGGTAATCAGATCAGCTAATTAAGCCATACAGGCCACATTAGCCGTAAGACTATTATGTATTCTTCACGAGCTCTGTTGGCAGTAGAGGTTGGATTATAGTCACGGAAAAGGGACAAATGGGTGGTGTCCTTTCTTCAGAGTATCAGTTGTTCCAGAACCCCTTTTTAAGTGTTCCTAGAGAGCCCCCAGAAGAGGGATGATATACTGGAGATGGGCAGCAGAGGTATCCCAAGAGCAGAGGCTATAGAGAAGATTCTTGCACCATCAGAAAGGAAATTCTTCTATGTCCTAACTGCCTCCTTGAGCCTCACCCAACAAGCCCTAAGTAAGTGGGCAGAGAGGAAGCAGAAGGTCAGAGCCGTGGATGGAATGCCACGAGTGCTTTTCAGCATCATTCATTTAACAAATATTTATTTAGCACCTGCTACATGTGCTCCAAATTGTCTCATATTCCCCTGACTGTCTGGCATCCCATTTAACCATATTTAGGTTAATAGTCCCAAAATATGACTCCCTAACTTTACAGGACTATTTTTGTACAACCAATATGGAGCACCTACAACATGCTAGGCACTGTGTTAGGTATTGGGGATACCGTGGTGAACAAGACTGACAAGTTCCTGCCCTTGTAGAACTTACATTTTGGTAAGAGAAGACAAACAGTAAACAAAGAAGAAAATAAATTAGCAAGATAATTTCCACGTGTGATAAGTTCTGTGAAGGAAACAAAGGAGGATGCTGTGCCAAGGAGGAAAGCTACTTTAGGACGGAATGATCAAGGAAGGTCTCTTAGAAGAGCTGACAATTCAGCTTAGGCAAGAATTCAGTTCTGCTAAGAGTGGGGAAGGGTGTTCCAGGCAGACAAAATAGTAAGTCTCATGGCCCTGAGCAGAGAAGAACTTGTGCTTGAGGAATAGAAAGGAAGGCAGTGAGACTAAAATGCAGAGTGTGAACAAGAGAAGGACAGAGAGACAGGCCGGGGCCCTGCCACTCAGTTCTTGGGTTAGAGCTTTGGTTCCTCCATTTATCACCTGTCTTGGAAAGTCCCAACCTTTCTGAGCTCCAGTTTCTTCATCTCTAGAATGGCTATACCAATAATTTTCAATTTCATAGGATTTGATTTTAATCGTTATTACAATAATAACTACCATTTCTCGTAGGCCTTCTATAATGCCATGCATTATAGTGGGTACTTTTCACACATTATTTGACTTAATACCACAACTATGAAAGATAGCTATGGTTCTCCCCATTTTACAGATGTAATTTGCTTAAGTCACACAGTGGTATCCGAGCTAACAATGGAACCCAGATATGACTAACCCTAGTTCTGTTTGACTCCAAAACGGTACCATACTATACTAATGTAAGATATTATTGTTATTGCTGTTGTTGAATCCTCAAGACAAGTTGTCCTCTGCTACTCTGTCCCTGGACTAGCGGTCAGCACGATCCACGTGATGGCTCCTCCTCCGTCTCAGGGTCCCATAGCTGAAAGTTGAGGCTTCCTAATCTAGCAGGGTAGAAGGAAGACCCCAGAATTCAAGATTCCCGCACTTAGCTTAACCCTCCTAGAACTGGGAACCCAGGCAGATAGATGCTTAATCTCCTTCCCCTACCTGCGCCCAATCTCGCGCGCCTGAGTCCCCGCCCTTCCCCAGTTGAGCTCCGCGGGGACGCAGGCGAGGCAGGGCTGGGGCTGGGGACCCGGCCAGGGCTGATTCTGCGTCGCGCGTCAGAAGCGCTAGAGGTCGTTGCGGGGCGTGGGTGGCTCGGGGAGTGGGTGGCGAAGCGGGGCTGGGGACCGAGGCTGGAGGCGGAGCAAGATGGGGTCGTGGCTATGGAGGCGTGCCGGCAACGCAGTGAGAACCACCCGGAGGGCCGGGACTGCGGGATCCGTGATGGGAAAGAGCGCAGAGATTGGAGGTGGCGGGAGGAAAGGCAGAAGCAGGCAAGAGACACACTCACAGAGACAAACACACTGGGGAAGCCCCGGGGGTGGGGGGAGGGGAGGAAGGTGAGGGTAGTCAGATGAATTAAGACAGATTGGGAGAGAAATCAGAGAGCTGGCCAAGGATCCAGAAATGAAGGAGAGAACGTGATGAGTCAGAGAAACAGAGACAGGACAGATACTGTCAGAGAGAGAGAGAGAGAGAGACATATGGAGAGGAACACAGGGAAAGGAAGAGACTAAGAAAAAGATTCAGAGACAAAGAACAGAAATAATAGTGGGAGTGGAGAATTAACTGAGTAGACAGAACCAAAGGGACTGCTGGCTTTTTCCGCCACATGCTGTTGTCATCTTCCTCCAGACCTACCGTTGGAGGCCGAGGTCCAGGCACCAAAAGTACTACTACCAAGCTGCCTTTGTGGCCTTCCTTAAGAAAAAAAGAAAGATGGCCAAGGAGAGGGGCCTAATAAGCCCCAGTGATTTTGCCCAGCTGCAAAAATACATGGAATGTGAGTCTTCCTCTCAGTCCTTCAGTTCTAGATACCTTACCCCAGAGAATCCCTCATCTTCCTTCTCATCCCTGCCCCATCCTCCCCCAGTTTACCCAATGGCCTTGAACCAGTCAGCTCCTAAGACATGCCTATGACTGAGAAAGGAGAGGGAGATGGGGAGATGCCTGGGGTCTCAGCTCGCCATCCACCTTCTCTGAACCTTGACTGCCTGCTTTAAGTCTCAGAGAAGAAAGTAAAGAGGGGTACCACTTTGGAGGATCTGAAGTGTTTTTCTCCATGTATGTCAGAATTTCTTCTTTTTTTCATCTCATTTGAATCTTTCCGTTGGATGTCTGGGTGGGACTCTGGCAGAGGGCAGAGAGAGCTGAACCAGATTAATGCTCTTCTTTCACTCTCTTCACACCTTAGATTCCACCAAGAAGGTCAGTGATGTTCTAAAGCTCTTTGAGGATGGTGAAATGGCTGAATATCTCCAAGGAGATGTGAGTGGCAGCTGGGAAATCCTCTCCTTGACCAACTCCTCCCATGTTTGTATTCGCCACTCCTTTGGGAACCCCAACTTCCAGGGATTATTCTGGGCCCACTCCTTGCTCTCCTCCCTCAAGACACCCCAATGTCCATCATTACTGCAGCTATTGCTTTAGGACAAAGCAAGAGAGTCTATTAATTCAGGACTCAGTCTAAGACACCAGACTCCTGCCTTGGATGCTTCCTAGTGCTGCACTTACTGTCTCTGTCCCCACTACTCCTAATTCTTCAATCCCCAGCTTCCATCCTGCAGACTTCTCCATGGTAATGCTTACTCTCATCATAGGCCATTGGGTATGAGGGATTCCAGCAATTCCTGAAAATCTATCTGGAAGTGGATGATGTTCCCAGTCGCCTAAGCCTGGCACTGTTTCAATCCTTCCAGACTGGTTACTCTTTAGAAAAGACTGTGAAAGAAGGTATGATCATGTAGGTGGGACCAGGCTGGGCTTCCAGAAGAAAAGGCAAATTAGTGTAGTTTTGGGGGTAGGAGTTGAATTGAGTCACATTTTGGGGACAAGGCTAGAGGCGAGAGGTAGAGGTTGGCCAGGCTGGTCTAGGAGCTGGAGGGAGGAAAGAATTGGAACAAACAAGGAAAAGAGAAGAACCAGAATGGAGGGCACCCCAACTTCAGCTCTACTGTACTTTTTGTCACCAGATGTGGTATGTCTCAGTGATGTCTCCTGCTACTTTTCTCTTCTGGAGGGTGGTCGGCCAGAAGACAAGCTAGAATGTGAGTTGCCATTCTGTACTAGGAGAGGGGAGGAAAGGTGAAAAGAGAGAGGGTGTTCCCCGGCCTTCCTTCCCTCATTTTTTCAGGATTCCTAAAGGTTAACAGGGCCAGACAAAGGTGCGGCCAGAGAATAGACCCATTTCCTCTGTCCCCACAGACTCCTTATACCTAATGCCATCCCCCATAGTCACTCCAGTTCCCATGTCTTATATATTTTCATGTGGGTGGCCTGAGGTGTTCCTGGGATGTGAAAGGTGTGTACTGTCTCCCCTATCAGGTTCCCCAAGGGTGGAATCCAGGCCTGTTTCCCCTCCTTTTTTGTCTCCTTTCTCAGTCCCAGCCCCAAATTCTGGCCTCTTCATCTAAAAGGTTTCTCCCTATCTCTTTGTTTCCCCTGTATTATGTTATAAATTCTTTGGGTGTCCCTCACAAACTGACCCTGGCCCCCCTAAAACACCCCACAGTCACCTTCAAGCTGTACGACATGGACAGAAATGGGATCCTGGACAGCTCAGTGAGTTGGGGACCTGTACGCTGGGCAAGGGAGTATGTGTCCATTTGTCTGTGCCTTCTTGTCCCAACTCTTCTAGGATCTTAAGCAGTAGAGGAAGCTAGAGGGAGAAGTTGAGTCCTATAGGACTAAATTTGGGAGTAGGTCCCAAGCTCTTGACCCCTAAAAGAGGAGGCTGAAGACATGAATTGGGGGCCCCCTTGCAAACATATGAACACATTTAGACACTCATTTACTTGGCAGAGGCACCTGAGAATGAGAAGTGGGTCTGGGGGTGGAGCCCAGGAACGCTGCTTTCTAGAGAATGCCTCAGATGGTGGTAGTGAGGTGGGATATGGCTGTGGCTCTTACCCTCTTGGCCCCCAGGAAGTGGACAAAATCATCATACAGATGATGCGAGTGGCTGAATACCTGGATTGGGATGTGTCTGAGCTGAGGCCGGTAAGGCAGTTCTTCCTGTCCCTTCTTGTACCTTCTCCTTGGTGAGTTCTGCATCTACTCCTGTCCTTTCTTGTACCTTCTCCTTGGTGAGTTCTGCATCTACTTTACCCCATCTCTGACTGACAGCCTGGTTCCCTTGGCTAAGATGGCTGGGCTGGGGCCATGGAGAGGTGTCAGATCTGAGGGGCCATTCACGTCAAAAGTCCCCCACCACCACCCCCGCAATTCTCTGCTCAGATTCTTCAAGAGATGATGAAAGAGATTGACTATGATGGCAGTGGCTCTGTCTCCCTAGCTGAGTGGCTCCGGGCTGGAGCCACTACTGTGCCGCTGCTAGTGCTGCTGGGTCTGGAGATGGTGAGTAGGAGAGACTTGTGAAGATGGGAAAGACAGTTGCTTTGGGTTGTGCTTGCCACAGGCTGGCCCTCTAAGGACTTAGACACTCCCTAGCATCTGTTGTGCCTTCCCAGACCCTGAAGGACAATGGGCAGCACATGTGGAGACCCAAGAGGTTCCCCCGACCAGTCTACTGCAACATGTGCGAGTCGAGCATTGGTCTTGGCAAGCAGGGGCTGTGCTGTAACCGTGAGTGATGGGACCTGGGAGTGTGGGAGCAGAGGGGCAGCCCAGCTCTCTGTGGGAGCATGGCTCTCTGAACTTAGGGAGACCTGGGTTTGAATCCTGGGCTCTGTCACTGACTAGTTAAGTGACCTAGTTAAACCTCAGTTTACTCAACTGAAAATGAGGTCATTGTGAGCGTTAAATAAGTTGATGCAAGAAAAGTGCTTCACCCAGTGCATGTACCTACTATTAAGTCTACAATAAAAATTAGCTGTTGTAGTTGTAGTAGTAGTAGTAGTAGTAGTTGTTGTTGTTGTTGTTGTTGTTGTTATCATCTGGGCTTCCTTTTTTATTATCCAACTGGTTATTGGCAAATGGATGAAGTAAGGGTAGGTATGCGGTAGCAACTACTCTTTTAGGGGGAAGAGTGAAAAAAAAAGGCATAGGTCTTAGAGGTGAGCCCCCACCCCAAACTTTAATTCTCTACCACACCCTCACAGCAAAGGGTTATAGTCTTGTTTCAGTGAGTAATCCACCTCACCCTCAGATAAGGAGGAAATAGAGGGAGGGGCTACAGCTAAGGCTTTGACCTTCCCTCTCGCCCAGTCTGTAAGTACACCGTTCACGACCAGTGTGCCATGAAGGCCCTGCCTTGCGAAGTCAGCACCTATGCCAAGTCTCGGAAGGACATTGGTGTGAGTGACCTTAAGTCCACCCCATCACCACCCACATCCTGGCCCTGACCCTTGGCCCATTGCAGCCCTCAGCCCTTCTCCAGTCTTTGTTCAGACCCTCTCAGACAAGGGATTGCCTTTCTCCCCAAGGTCCAATCACATGTGTGGGTGCGAGGAGGCTGTGTGTCTGGGCGATGCGACCGCTGTCAGAAAAAGATCCGGATCTATCACGGTCTAGTCGGGCTGCATTGTGTGTGGTGCCACCTAGAGGTGAGTTCGGGAGCAATTTCTCCAGCCTATGCCTTGGGGCACCCCCTTAAGTTGCCCTCTCTTCTCGCCTGGCGCATATACCTTACACTCACAGTCGCCCCTGCTCCCAATGGCTCTCTTTTTAGTACCAGACCCCAACATTGAGAGGTGACGGGAGGGGAGGACCTCCATGGTCTCTCCATGCCCACCTTGTCTTTCAGATCCACGATGACTGCCTGCAAGCCTTGGGCCATGAGTGTGACTGTGGGCTGCTCCGGGATCACATCCTGCCTCCATCTTCCATCTATCCCAGCGTCCTGGTGAGACCTGTGGGCAGCAGCTGGGAGGAGGCAGGAGTGCTGCCCCAATTTAAAAACACACATACGTACAATGCCTTTTAGAGCAGAGAGCCTATACTTTTAGAATTCAAGTCAGACTTTATTCTGTTTAGGGATTCACACACAATCCAGTTTTCCTTTCTTCTGCTTCTCTCCCTTCTTAGGCCTCTGGACAGGAGCATAAAAGTAGCAAAACAAGCCAGAAGACCATGGATGATTTAAATTTGAACACCTTTGAGGCTCTGCGGGTACAGGGCTAAGAGGCTTGGGAGTCATGGTGGGAGCTGGTTTTCCTTTGCTGGAGCCCTCTTGGAGAGAATGAAGTGGGAAACCTGCTCAGGGAGGGAGAAATGGGGTCATTACAGCCTTCTGCCCCTGTCTCCAGGGCCCATCTTAACTCTAACAAAAGCTTATGTTCCTCATCCTTGTTTTCTTTCCCCATGTAGATTGACCCTGTTGCTCACACTCACCCACTTCTGGTCTTTGTCAACCCTAAGAGTGGTGGGAAGCAGGGGGAGAGGTGAGAAGAGATATACTTTGTCTACTAAGATCAAGGGGGAGGACTGACAGAGTTTGGGAATTTGTGTATATGGAGGAGACATACTTTGAGGAGGACATCAGGAGGGTGGGTACAGTCTCTCCCTTCCCTGCCACGAGCCTTTCTATTTCCGTCACACAGGGTGCTTTGGAAATTCCAGTATCTACTAAACCCTCGACAGGTGTTCAACCTCCTAAAGGATGGTCCTGAGCCAGGGTGAGTGTAGGTTGGGGGCTGTATCACAGTGTGTGTGTGTGTGTGTGTGTGTGTGTGTGTGTGTGTGTTTGCCTCTCTGTGTATGTTGGGAGAGCGGGGTTAGGGGACCCCAAGAAACTAGAATTCAGAATGCTGCTTTTACTAGGGTCACTGGGTATCCCCACCTCGGAGTGCCCTGGCTCATTATTCTGTTCTCAAAAGATGGAGGTACCACTTTCTCCCTAACCATTGAGCAGTGGTTATAACTTTCCCCATTGCAATTTTCCTCTGACCTTATTAGAAAAAAGTCTTTTGACAAAGGGTAAGGGTGCCATAAGAATGTGCAGATGAGAAGTAATCTGCCTGTCCAGGAGTTGGGTAGCCTTGGTCCTTTTATCCTTTCTCATCTTCTCTCTCACCTTTTGTCTCAGGCTTAGATTCTTCAGAGAAGTTCCTGATTACCGGATTTTGGTGTGTGGTGGAGATGGCACAGTAGGCTGGATCCTAGAGACCATTGGTCAGTGCAGGGTGAGGCTCTGGGCAGGGCACTGGGGCAGTGGCCTTCCAGAGCTAACTCCCTCTGTCCATCTTCTCACCTGTCCCTCCCAGACAAAGCCAACTTGCCTGTTGTGCCTCCTGTTGCTGTGTTGCCCCTGGGCACTGGAAATGATCTAGCTCGTTGCCTAAGATGGGGAGGAGGTAAGTGATTAGAAATTGTTTTCCTGGGGGATGGGGAGAGCTGGATAGGAAGGGAAAGGCACACCTAGAAGGCATCTAGGTATCTGGTACACAAAGAGGATGAGGGAAGAAAAGGCACAGAAGGGTGGATACCAAAGTGGATTGTCCCAAAGGAAGAAAGCTTTAGAAGAAACAAGGACCACAGCCTGAACCTAAAAGGGTCAAGGGTGATGGTCCTTTTCTCTATAATCCTAAAAATATCCTCTATTTCTCTCAACCAACTCTTAGGGCTCAGAGCATCAAGGAGTATGGGGAATAAGGAAGGTTGTGTAAGTGCTAAGGCAGATGCTGAATGATGGAGCTAGCAGGGAACTTGGTTCCTGGTTAATCAGGGGTCATTCATTCATTCTTCATAATTTCTTCCCAAGTCTATTGCAACAGTCTCCTAACTGCACTTGCATTTCTAGTCTCCTGCTCCCTTAAAAGAGAAGACATTGAAGGGATGGTGTTATAAACGTCACTGTCTGGCAGGTTGGAGTTTGAAGTGTCTTGGAGTTGAGGCTGTTGGATTCAGAGTCCACCTCTTATATCTCACAGGAGATTATAGAATAGGGGTCTACTAAGGAGAGCGAAAAACATTTTAGGTAGAAGAAATTGTATAAAGCCAGAGGAGGAGCCACCAAACAACATGACAGTGCATTCAGGAAAGTGTGAGTCATTCATTGTGACTGGGACATAGGGTGCAAGGTGGGGAATGAAATGAGAGAGGACTGAGCCGAGCAGATTGTGGAGGGCCGTGCATGCTGTGCTGAGGAGTTTTAAACTTTATCCTGCCAGAGATTGAAAGGCGAAAGCCCACAGAAATTATTTGCATTGTTTGCCTCGCAGTGTTTTAATTTTTTGACTTTGGTTATTTCTGAGAAGCGAGTCATGTATTCCTCAATACACCACAATTCCTTAGGTTCCTTGCTATTTTTCACTCATTCACTTTACCTTTCTAACCACTGAAGTCTTTGAACGTGCAATCCCTGAACCATGGGAAACTCTTAAACTCATGGAAGATGTAACTAAAATATATTCCCTTTTTTTCTTTTAGTTACATATATAATATTATACAGTATATATAGTAAAATTACTCTCTCCATATATAAAATGTTATTCCAGGAAGTAGACATGTCTCCAAGTACATATTATAATTTAAATCTTGTATGTAAACATATGACCAATTTTTTTTTTGGCCATTTTTTAAAAACTCAACATCCGACTTTGTTTTCACTTATAGTATTAGACACTTTGAAATCATGTATTTTGAATCTTTACTGTGTTCTGCAAATGAGAGTCTCATAGCAATTTCTGCAAATGCAACCTGAATCATGAAAATAATGACATAAATACAGCGCTAATGAAAATTTGCATTGATATTGAAGAGTTGTGAAGAAGGGGAGATGGAAGGAATATGCTCTATGGAGGATAGGAATATGCTATATGGAGGAAGGAGACAGAATAAGAAAGTACCTGTACTGCAATAATCTAGTCAAGAGATAATGAACACAAAAGCAAAGGGTACAGCAGTGGAGTTTATGATGTGGAAGCCACATACTTGGTAACTAATGGGTTGTGGAGGAGGACAAGGTGAAGACAAGTCTAGGATATTTTCTGGGTTAGTAGACTGAGCAGATGGAGGTACCATTTATTAAGATAGAGAATACAAGAGGAGGACCATTTTAAGGAAGAAAGACACAATTGGTTTTGGACATATTGAGTTGATGTCTCAGTGGAGTACCCAGATGGAGAAGTGTGGTAGGTAGTTAGAAGTCAATGTTAGGAATTTAGGAGAGAAGTCAGGACTATAGAGACATGTTCAAGAACCATCTGCTTCTAGAAAGTAATTGACATCCTGAGAGTAGATAAGTAAGAAGAGAAAGTGGACAAGGATAGCAAGATCCTGGTAAACACCCTATTTAAGGGTTGAGCAGAGGAAGATGAATTATTAAAGGAGTCTATTAGTGTGCTATTTCTGCTATAACAAGTCACCACAAACAGTGGCTTAAAACAACACAAATTTATGGTCTTACAGTTCTGGAGGTCAGAAGTCCAAAACAGGTCCCTCAGCACTAAAGTCAAGATGTTGGCAGGGCTGCGTTTTTTTTCTAGAGGCTCTAGGGGAGAATACCTTTCATTGCCATTGCCATTTTCTAGAGGCTGCCTGCATGCCTTGGCTCTGGGACCCCTTCCAACCAGCAATATTATCACTCTAACCCTGCTTCCATTGTCACATCTTCCATGATTTTTCTCTTGCCTTCCCCTTTCACTTATAAAAACTCCTGTGATTGTATTGGGCCCACCCAGATAATCTAGGGTAATCTCCTCATTTAAAAATCTTTGATTTAATCACATCTGCAAAATCTCTTTTGCCATATAAGGCAACATATTCACAGATTCTGGAGATTAGGATGTGGACATCTTTGAGGAGCTATTATTCTGCCTACCACAGAGACTAAGAAGGAACAGAGAGGGTCCTCTGTAACTTAGAGAGTAGTATTTTAGAAGCCAACTAAGGAGTTTCATGAATTAAAATGAGAACTAAAGATATGCTGTCGGTTTTGGCAGGAATAATTGGCAGTCTTTGCTCAAAGAGTTTCAGCAGGGTGGTATAGTGAAAAGTAAATTATAGTGAGCTGGACTATCAGTGGAATGTGAGGAAGTATAGATCGTTTTTGTAAATTTTTTTCCTGATTACAAAATAATACATGCTTGTGGTAAAAAAAAATTCAGACATTTCAAATATACATGACAAGGAAGGGAAAGTTCCTTGTAATCTAATCCCTAAGGTTTCGGAGTCTATTTCTTCATAGTTTTCTTTCTAGACACACAGTAATATGTATTTAAACAATGAGGTCATTTTATAGATTTTTTTCTTCTTTTTTAAAACTAAATAGCTCATCTTGGTTATAATCATATTTCAATATAGTCAGGTTTGCCTCACTCTTCTTATTTCTGAATAGCATCCCTTCGTGTGAATATGTCATAATTTATTTACCCACTTCCCTATAAGCATTTGGGTAGCATTCGGTTTTTTTTTACAAATCATGCTGTAGTGAACCCCCTTGCATATTTATTTCTGCACCCAGATGTGAGAATTTCTCTAGGAGAAATTTCTAGAAGTGGAATTTCTGGCTCAAAGAGTATGAACATTTTACATTTGATTAGTTTTTAAAATACACAAATAGTACATTAGTACATTTTCACCAAAAAATTTTAAAGTAAAATGTGTAAGTCTTCACATTCAAGTTTCCTCTCCCCTGCCCCTCACCAAATTCCACATACATCCTAGAGACAACCACTGTTTCCTATTTACACTAATTTTTCTGTTTTTATGTGCACGCACACAACTTTTTTAAAAAATTATTTATTATTATTATTTATACCTACAGCACCTGGTCTTCCTAGGTGGTCTCCTATCCAAGTACTAACCAGGCCCGACCCTGTTTAGCTTCCCAGATCAGACATGGGGCTTGTTCAGGGTGGCATGGCCATAGACCATGGACCGTGGCTCCACTGGGGTGTGAAGCCAGGACCTTCTGCATATAAAGCAGATGTGCTAACCACTACACTATGGAACCATATCCACACGGACAACTTTTAAACAAACATAAATGGGATCATACTGCTCAAATTGTTCTGGTTTTTCTTTTTTTAATTGAATAATGTATGTTGGAGATTTTTCCATGTTAGTACGTACAGAGTTCGTTCTGTATTCAATCGCTGTACATTATTTCATGGCATGGATTTGCCACAATTTATATAACCTTCCCCTACTGATGAGCATTTAGATTGTTTCCAATTTTTTTGCTGTTTTAGAAAGTACTTCAGCAAACTTTCTTGCACATCCATCTCTGTGCACATGTGTGTTAATTTCTGTAGGCGAAATTCCTGAAAGTGGAATTGCTGTGTCAAAGGATATGTCTTGATAAAATTTGGTAACATTTCAATAAAAATTGCTAAATTGCCTTCCAAAAATAAAATACCGGTTTATGCTCCAACTAACAGCAAGTGAGAGTGCCAGTTTATTCATAATCCCTTTAACACTTGGTTTTCTCAATCTCTTCATATTTTGTCAATCTGATAGACAAGAAAAAGTTACTAATTGTTTTAATTTCCAATTCTTTTAATTATTAATAGTACTGAGCATCTTTAATATGCATATTGGCATTTGTATTTCTTCTGTGATTGGTTTGTTTCTGTTATTTGCCTATTTTTCTATTGACTTTATAGAAATAGTGATCGGTGAGCTTTTTTTGAATATTGGGGAAGTTAATCTATTATATGTGCAGCAGATATTTTTTCCCAGTTTGTATTTTGTATTTTTTTAGATATGTGTTTATTTAACCATACGAAAGTTTTAAATTTTAATATAATTGTGTTGATCAGTTTTTCCCTTTTTTGGTTCCTAGTTTTATATTATGCTTTAGAAAGGCCACTCAAAGATTATTAAAACATTTATTCATCTTTTCTTCTAATAAAAATTCTGCTTCTTTTTTAACATTTAAATTCTTCGATCTATCTTGATTTTTTTTTAATTTATTACATTTGTTGGGGTTAGTTACATTGGTTTATAAGATTATGTAAGTTTCAAGTGTAGAATACAATTTGATAATATATCATCTGTATATTGCATTGTTTATCACCCAAAGTCAAGTCTCCTTCTATCACCATATATTTGACCCCCTTTACCCTCTTCGTCCTCCTCCCATTCCCCTCCATCTTGAATTTATTTTGGTATAAGAAGTGACTTCCACACCCAGCACGATTTATTGAATAATCTATCTTACCCACTTATTTGAAATGTCACCATATACTAAATTCTCATATATATTTGAGTCTGTTTCTGGGCACTCTATTCTTTGAATACTATTGAACTTTTTATTCTATTCACTGTGTCAGTATCACACCATTTAGACACTATTGCTCTATACTGTGTGTGATCTGGTAGAATGAGAAGAGAAAGTGTCAGGGGTGGGGAGAGATAGATAGATAGATAGATAGATAGATAGATAGATAGATAGATAGATAGATAGATACAGATTATCCCCATTCATCACTCATTTTTAAAAAATTTTCCTAGCCATTTTCTCTAATCTTCCAGATGAACTTTGGCATTGTTGTTAGATACATACATACATTGGGAACAATCATCCTTCATGACAGTGTGGAGAAAAGGGCAGCAGGTTCCATGGGAGCCATGACTGAGCACCCTGCCTTTTCACTGGCAAAGGCTGGGGGTGTCTGAAGAATTGGGGCAGAGGATCCCTGGGAATTTGTCGAACTGAGTTAACCTGTCTTCTCTCCCATCCCTAGGGTATGAGGGACAGAATTTGGGGAAGATTCTCAAGGATTTAGAGACAAGTAAAGTGGTACATATGGATCGATGGTCTGTGGAGGTGATACCCCAACAAACTGAAGAAAAGAGCGACCCAGTCCCCTTTCAAATCATCAATAACTACTTCTCCATTGGTGTGGTCAGTGGAGTGGGGCACGGGGGTAGGGAGGAAGCAGGGTTAAGCAGGCAGAGGCTGGAGGAGAGCAGACTGAGAAGGTAGAGGTTAAGAGAGCTGTGACACAGGAAAATCGGGGATGGGGTACAGTGGTGTGAGTTGCAAGAAAAGAATATGGGACATACTGCTTCCAAATGGGGGAGTTAAAGAAATAAAGTTCTGTGCTGAGAAAAGGCAGGCCTCTGATCTTACATGCCTGAACTTCCCAGGATGCCTCTATTGCTCACCGATTCCACATCATGCGAGAGAAATATCCCGAGAAGTTCAACAGCAGGTGAGAGAAAGTGGGGGTGGGGTGGGCACACACAGTGGCAAGAACCAGGTTGTGTGGCCAAGTATGACGAGAGCACTTGAAGAGTGACACCTCGAGGAAACCCATCAACCCAAAGTTACCCTGTTCCACATGGGTCTGGAGTCAGGAGGTTAATGCTCTTTTCTGTTACTTAGCCTACCCCTACCAGCACTGTGTAACTTATCCCCACTCCCCCCAACCCTGCCACTGGGCCTTGTGTTGGGGCTGACACAGAATGAAGAACAAGCTATGGTATTTCGAATTCGCCACATCTGAATCCATCTTCTCAACGTGCAAAAAGCTGGAGGAGTCTTTGACAGTCGAGGTGGGTAGGATAAGACCTCACCCTACATCTTTTTCAGCTTTTTATATCTTAGTTTCTCCTTTCACAGGTGCCCTCAAGAACTTCCCATATTCTTGAACCTCTGCTTTGACCTCCCAGCTCTCCAATTCTGATTTCCTAAGTTCTCAAGATATACCAATCCCTATTTCCTTTCATCCCTTGCAAAACTCCAAATTCTGATCTTCCCAGTTTGTCATCTGGTGGAGGGAAAAGTCACATCCTTGATTATGCCATGAGGTAAGGATCTGTTTTCTTCTTCCTTCAGATCTGTGGGAAACCACTGAATCTGAGCAACCTGTCTTTGGAAGGCATTGCAGTGCTGAACATCCCTAGCACACATGGAGGCTCCAACCTCTGGGGTGATACCAAGAGACCCCACGGGGACATCCATGGGATCAACCAGGCCTTAGGCGCTACAGCTAAAGTCATCACCGACCCTGACATCTTGAAAACCAGTGTACCGGGTGAGACGAGCTGCCCTGGGAGCCGAGGGCAGGAAAAAGGGGAAGGTGTAATTCTCTTTGGAGGCACCCTGCTTCTGCAAAACCTATCTTGCTACTTTCCATCCCCAGACCTAAGCGACAAGCGGCTAGAAGTAGTAGGGCTGGAGGGTGCAATTGAGATGGGCCAGATCTATACCAAGCTCAAGAGTGCTGGACGTCGGCTGGCCAAGTGCTCTGAGATCACCTTCCAGTAAGGAAAACTCTGGTTAGGGGCTCTACGGGAAGGAGTGGGGCCAGGAGCACCAGGGTCATGGGAATAGCGGCTGTACTAGGAGATCTTCCTCAGTACCAAAGGCTGTCAAAGCCAACTTTGGAAACAGAGTTTTGGCATTTGTCGGTAAAGAAATCTCCAGCAATCTGCTTTGGCCTCCCACAGCACCACAAAAACTCTTCCCATGCAAATTGACGGAGAACCCTGGATGCAGACACCCTGTACAGTGAGTATTGCTTGTGCCTGCTGAAAACTGAACCCTCAGGCTCCATGGATCCTTAATCTCCATTCTATAGCTTCTTTACTTCCTCTCAATGCCTGAAGTTCCCCTGTGCACCATTTATCTCATATCCTGATTTCTCAGCCCTTGGCCTTCCTTCCATGGCCTTTCTAGGACCCCAGCAACCCACCCTGAAACTCACAGATCTTCTCCCAGATCTCTGCTGCTCCATCCCTACAGTAGCAGGTCCTGCCTCTGAACATGGCCCCTTCTCTTCCAGATCAAGATCACCCACAGGAACCAGATGCCCATGCTCATTGGCCCACCTCCACGCTCCTCCAATTTCTTTGGCTTCTTGTGCTGAGAGAGACATCTCAACCTCAAAGCCAGTCTTGAACCCACTTCCCTGGACTGTACTCCCTGGACTGTACTCTGTATACTGCTGCCGCACCTCCTGCCAGCTCAAGGGAGTGTTCCTTCACCCTCACAGTATTTATTATCCTGCACCACCTCCACTATTCCCCATGCGCGCGAGCACACACACACACACACACACACACACACATACACACACACACAAAGACACACACACACTCCCCTACACCACAAACACATACATTGAAAGTGCCTCATCTGAATAAAAAGACTTTTTTTCCCCTACTGGGATATCTGTTAAGTAAGTGGTATACCTTCTTCCTCTATACCTTCACTCCTTAAATGACATAGATTCTCTCAAGAAGCAAGAAAAAATACAGCACCTGGTTCTGAGTATTTATTTCAGGTAGTGGTAGTCTCCAAGGGGAGAATGGAAAAAAAGGTAGGCATTGCTGTCCACCTGGGTAAATCATAGCATCACATGAGAGTACTCAGACCTGCTGCCCACTGAGAAGGGGGCTGTTCTCTCCGATGGAGTAAGAATGGAAGACCCGGGGCAGACGCAGCCAGTGGGTGCTACTGTGTGGCAGCTGGGAAAGGGGGTTTGAGGAGCCCTGCTTCATAAGTCTGCGCCTGATATTGGGAGAAGAAGCAGGGAAACTGGTTAGCAATAGACAAGGGCAGCTTATTTACTTCTCCAAAGAAGAGGACATACTTATATCCCAGGTTTACTTGGCCTTGATCCTAGCTCCTTCCCCTCCTCCTCACAGATAAGGTTCATCCTCTCTTGTTCCTATGGTAACCTCTGCCCATTCCTCTCTCCCAATGAGCTTCTCTACTTTGAGGACCTTGGCACTCCAGGCCTGGGGATCTCCCCTTCTTGCAGGTGGAGAACTCACTTCACCCAACCTCTGCCACTCTTGATATAGCTAATAACAACAGCCATCAATATCATCATTTTTGCACTCCTCTTTCAAAACAAGGTGCTTTATCCACATCGTCTCTAATGCTGACAATAGCCCCACAGAGCAGGTATTAGTTTTTGTGCTTTTCAGAGGCTCAGAAAGATTAAGCTACTCCCCCAAGGTCCCACCAGTGAGACTGCAGTCCAGGCCTGTTTAACTTCCAAGTCTGGGCTCTTTCCTGGACACTGTACTTCCTCAAAGGGAGTGGTGATTCCTTCTCCCCTTGAGGAAGAGTAAGTGATGGTAATAAGAAATAGGGGGTGTCAGCTTGATGGTGAGGTCCTCACCTATATATCAGAGATGCAAGCACCATAGCCATCAATGCCAGCAAGATGCCCATGAGAAGGGGAGCCTGCCCAAGGCCCGCTTCTTGACCTGTGAGTGGAATTCCAGACACTGCTTCAGTGTCTGCTCCTTAACAGATAGTCTCTGTCCACTCCCCTTCATCCCAGCTCTTGTCCAAATACCTACCAGGCATGACAAGCTGGGTGCTGACCATTGCTAGGCTGTTGGCATCAGCCAAAGACACATTGAGGCAGTAGGTCCCTGAGCCGCCCGTCAGTTCCTGGTGCAGAACCAGCTGGCAGGCTGGGCTGGGTAGCACAGGCTGACAGAGCCGCTGGGCAGGGGGCTGACACCCTGGTGATGATATATCCATACAGGCTTCCTCGGGCAGCCTGGGAGAGGGGTCATGTTATGTCAGGAGTTCTGTGTAGGAACACTAGACACCAGAGAGCAGGGCAACAGTCAACCCAGGAGTTCTCAGGGCCACCAGTGGGACACTTACCCGCCTTGGCAAGACACAGTCAGCTCAAATGCATCTCCTTCACTAGATGGCACAGCCTGTAGGATCTCAGCATTCTCAATACCCTCTGCAAAGTTGCAAGATTTTAAGTCTGGGATTCTTCTACCAGAACTCCTCAAAGGCCCATAGACAGAAAAACCCTAGGCTGCTTCCCCAATCCCATCCCCATGCCTTCAAATGAAAACCATGGGCTTTGGGTATTCTTTTCCAGGTGAGTAACTCATTCCATAGTATGCTTCCACTGGCAGCTCTAAGCAGCATACGCCTCCCTCCACCAGCCCCCATTGCAGGCAAGACTCACGGACAATGTCCAGGGTGAGGGAAAAGGAGCCATATCGATACAAAACACAATCCGAGGGGACTTGTCGCTTCACCAGGTTTAAGGTGGCTGTACTGTCCAGCAGGGGGCTCTGGGAGCCTGGCAGGAGAGGGTTGAAGAGAGAAAATCAAGAGACAAATGACTCACCTGAAAACAGAGGCCAACCAGGCATTTTCCCAGGTAGAGCCAGAGCTACTGGATCCAGGCTTGGATTCAGACAAGACCTGGGAAATCTCATTTTATAGATAAGGAAACTGAGTCCCTGAAGGATATATGACTGTCCCAGAGTCACACAGGGGTAGAGCTGGAGTTTTAAAAAATCCCAAATGTTTATCCCACTCCACACTGTGCCAGGTCCTGGGCTAGACACTTGACATATGTTAACTCATCTAAACATCACTATCTCATTCCTCCTTTTTCAATGTTCTTATCACAATTTCAGGTTGATCTGCTTTGGATTGAGATTCCAGGGATGAGAAATGGAATCGGAATCTGGGAAAGATTTCTATGCATTTACATATGAACAGGAAATGAGATATAAATACATATATGATCACAGTCTGTTCCCTGGCCTGCCCCTCAGGGAATAGCCCTGCTCAGGGATAGAGAAGCAACAAGCTCTATTCTGGGCCTAGGAGAAGACCCTGACTTCCTAAACTCCATATCTATTCCATGTCATTAAGAGAGACTTGAGGGCTTTAAAACCATTGAGGGCCCTGAGAGGACTCCATCGCTAAGCAAAGGATCGGGTAACATCTGAGTCCTGAGTAAATCTTTCAGCTCTCTAGTAACAAATGCCCCATCTCAATAAACTGCATTCACATTGGCCTTCTTACCTGTAATACCTTCCGTAGGCATGGACAAGCTGACATCTGGACTCTCAGGCTCAGGTGTGGGTACCTCTCCTGCTGTGGTCTCCACCAACTCTGTAGTTGTTACCTGTGCAACTGTGGTTTCAGAGGGCTCTGCAGTTGACACTTCAGGTGTACCTATGGCCTCTGCAGTTGGCATCTCTGCAAGTGTGGTACCTATGATCTCTGAGGTTGGTACTTGCTCAGGTGTAGTACCTATTCCCTCTTCAGTTGGCACTTGTACAGATACAGTACCTATAACCTCTGTTGTTGGCACCTGTACAGCTGTGGTTCCAGAGGGCTCTGCAGTTGGCACCTGACCAGGTGTAGTACCTACAACTTCTGCTGTAGGTACTAGCCCAGCTGTGGTGCCAGGGGCCTCTGCAGTTGGCACATACCCATCTGTGGTGCCTGGAACTGGGGACGAGCCACAGGAGGTGAGAGGAATGGCAGCCTGAAGCACCGCTCGGGCAGTGATTGGGCCAGACTCTAGGTAAGTGTGAGTGACCACAAGTGCCCGAGAGATCAGGGTTCCAGTACTGTCTCCAAAGTCCCAGGTGTAGGAGAGGTCTGCCCCAGACAAGTAGCCACTGGGGTCATGGAGCTGGAGGGCAAAGATCAAAGGTTGATTTCTCAAGAAGCGCTTGTTCCCTCCATCCAAGGCCTGTAGCTGGGACACGCTCACAGAGAATGGCACCTGGTCTGGGATTGGAACCAAAAAAGGGGAAAATCACACCTGGGCTGCAGCTTCTCCTCTCATAGCCACACCCTCCAATTCCAAGCTGACTGACCATCCCTTCACTGGCTCCAAGCCCCACATTCCTCTGCCCAGGTATTCCTGGCTCTGCCTCTTTAAGGTTATGCACCACTTCCCATTTCCCCTTCTAGTCTAGCCAAGCCTCCTCACCTTCTTCTCCTGGCTCTGCAAGGATTGGCCTTGCCCCTTCCTAAATCCTTACCAGTAATGGTGAAGGCTGAGCGGGAGTGAGCGAGGGGCACGTAGCTCTGGGATCCCCGACGGTGGTAGACAGTTACTTCCATGGTATGTATGCCCAGCTCTGCTGTGCCTGTCTCAATGCTCAGCCCAGACACTGGACCCCCCAGAACTTGCCAGTATTGGCCTGAGGTTTTTGGAAAGAAAAATGGGGAGGGTGGGTGTTACCAGTCAAAGAAAGTCGACTGAAGGGCAGGATTAGATAGGGCACCAGAGAAGGAAGGTCAGTAGATATATTAAGGATGGTTATTTTAGAGGGTATTTGGAAGGTTGGAACAGGGGCAGGAAAGGAGTCCTAACGAGTGGTTCCATGGGATGGGACTATAATTGGGGAAGGGCTCCCAGAAAAAAACTATAATAGAGAGAGTTGGAGGGGGCCAGGTGCTACGGAAGAGGAAGGAGCCACAGGGAAAATAATTAGGGAAATTCACAGAGCTTAAAGGGTGGGACCAAAAGGAAAGGAGATCAAGAAGAAAGAGGTAAATTCAAGTGTGGATTACAGGCCAGAGCAGAGAGTCCCTCACCCCAGGTCTTCCAGACATAAACAAATCTTCTCCTCTGAAACCAAGGGCCAGATGGGCAGGCCTCTCCATCAGGAAAGATGCAGGCATCGTCAGGTTCCTGGGGGTATACTGGCTGTCCTTCCCATACCTGGCTCCCTGAAAGGTAGATACGGAGTCACCCTCAAACCCTGGCATTCCTTTCTGTACACCAAAACCCCTAACACGGCTCCCAGAGAGGGGCTCTGGGAATACTTCCTAGCTACAAAGTATATTCCCTTTGGTATAATCCATTTGGGGTGGCAGTGGGAAGAATGGAAACTACAATTAAAGATTCATATGTATATACTTACATACGAAAGAGGTTGGAAGGCCATATATCAAAATGTTTAGAGTTATTTGCTCTAGCTAATGAGATAAAAAGAAAGAAAACCACCAGCTTGCAATTACTGAGACTTTACTATAGGCTAGGGCAGGCATTATGCTAAATTCTTTATATATTATCACATTTTAATCCTTACAATGATCTTCCAAGGTAGGTATCATCCTCATTCTATGAATAGGGGAATGGAAGCACACAACAATTAAGTACCTTGCTCAGGGTTCCAAATTTGTAACAAGTTTATTTATTTATTTCATTTCATTTCATTTCATTTCATTTATTTATTTTTTTGGTAACAAGTTTAAATCCAAGTCGGTCTAACTTCTATGTCTACTGAGTCCTCTGTCCCCCATTTTGGAGGCTATAATTCTTTTCCTTTTTATTTATGTTTTCTAATTTTTCTACAATGAATATGCATTACATATGTAATTTGTTAAAAAATAAAAATTAGAGGGGAGAGAGGGCATTCCCTGAGCTCACTGGGGATAGATACCAGGGAATCTGAGCCCCAGGAATGAGGAGGGCCTGGAGTAGAGAAGTACTCACCATTGATGATGGTGTTGTTGTTCCAGATGACCTGCCCATCTGACATCACCTTTTGGCTTTCAGGGAAGTGCAGGGAAATGGAAAAGGAGGCATTTGCCCCGACCAGCGTAGGCCCATCATTACTGACCTTCAGGGACACCTGGCCACCTGAGAAGGGCAGCTGCATTAGCTGGGACTCCTTTGGCTTCCCCTCCTCATTTATCTTTCTCCTAACTTTCTTCTCAAGCTACATTCAACCCAGTTCTTGCTCCTCTCCCTCCCCATTCCCATCATATCCTCCCCAGAAATTGCCAAGTTCCTACCTCTCCAGCAGTCAGGGCGCTGGATTTCTGTCCACTCTGGATATAGCTCCCTATTCCAGGCTTTAGTTCTGAGCTGTCTAGAGATACCATGCCAGCGCCAGTCTCTGGGTCCTGAAAAAAAGGTACCAAGAGGGCCCTAGGATCCTCGCTCAGTCCCTTCTCAAAGTTCATTTTAAACTAATATAATATTCTATGTCAACTATAATTGAAAATAACATATATATAAAAATTTTAAGTGCATTTTAGTGCACTGAATACCCACTGTGTACCAGGCAATATGCTAGGTACAAAGCACTTAAGAAATGAATAAGACGTGGCCTTGAAGAGATTCAAAGTAAAGTATAGGAAATAGACATATATAAATTTTTTTATTATTTATTGTTTTATTATTACTTATGCCTACAGCACCTGGTCTTCCTAGGTGGTCTCCCATCCAAGTACTAACCAGGCTCAACCCTGCTTAGCTTCTGAGATCAGACATTGGGCTTGTTCAGGGTGGCATGGACGTAGACCATGGACTGTGGCTCCACTGGGGTGTGAACCCAGGACCTTCTGCGTGTAAAGCAGATGTGCTAACCGCTACATGATGGAACAACCTCCCATATACATAAATTACTATAATTTATGGCACTGTTTAATATGAGCTATAGCAGACATGCATAAGTGCAACTAAATGAAGAATTAAACAGATTAGTTCTAC